GTATTCTTTGGGTGAGGTTGATGTCTAGTTCTGATTGTCCTATTCAGGATTCGACTCTCTCTAGTGGCTTGTTATAGTTATATTTGGTATTCCATTACTCAACCCATCAGCAAAACACTTCATTATTGCTCGGCCTCAAGAAACACATTTGAGACCTTTATATTCGGTCTCTCTTCAAGAAATCTATGTATTCGGTCCTTCAATGGCTAGGTTTATTCAGTCCTTCCTCGGGTCTATTGGGTTGCTCTTCGGGGGCAAAGCTTATGTGGTCTCTGTTCAAAGGATCAGTGACATCTGTTATAGGCCTTTCTCGTTAGATCTATTTGCCTTGGAAGGGTCTCATGATTGTCTCATTCACGGCTCAACTATTATTATCCTTCTCGGGATTCTATTATGAGGGTATCGGTAAGGATTCAATTATNATTTGCCTTGGAAGGGTCTCATGATTGTCTCATTCACGGCTCAACTATTATTATCCTTCTCGGGATTCTATTATGAGGGTATCGGTAAGGATTCAATTATTTTCATCCTTCGAATTTGGCCTCTTAATAAGGCACTTTGTTATTGCACGGGTTGATGAGTTTCTAATGTATTCATTGTTATTGCTTAGGCTTAGAACTGTTTATACTGTGGAGACGCCATCTATGGCACCAAGCAGATGCATTGTTTTAACTGTTGAGATATCACTCATTGCTCATTGAGTATTTGAGATTCACAGTTATCAATCTCGGTATTCTATTATAAATGACAAGTGTATTCGACATGTGCATGTATTATTGTCTATGGTATTCGGGCTCCGTGCTCGCTTGACAACATATAGTGGATCTCGGCATATCTCTCTCATGTTGCACCCCACAAAAAAAGGGGTGTGGATATTATCTCTTGAGACATGAGTATTCTGCATAGCTTTCATCTCCTTCTAGATATTCAAAGGAAATAAAAGCTAGGGGGCAATTGATAGAACATTATTTGTCAGGTGGGTCCACCAGTCCCACTCCCATGGAAGAAGTATAAATAACTTTACAAATATCACAAGTAGGACTTACTACAATAAATATATGACAGGTAATGAGTGTTTTGGCAGATTAGTCTATGCCTATTTCCCTGTATTAACGGTTGCACTGTACATGATAGTAAGTGACTCTTTAATTTTCTCTGTATATATGGGTGAAGACCCAAGAAAGAGGAAGCCTAAAGTATGAGCACCTTAGCTCCATACTCCACACACACACCTATATTATTTCTAGTTTATACACTCGTCTATTGAGGTATTGATCGCGATACTGACTTAGGCATCGAAGGGGACTCCCCTGACTCAACGCTGGGGTCCCTTTGTTCTCTTTCTGTCTTGCAGTTCATGGATTGGATGATACTCGAAGACTAGGGGTGCATCTCAACTCATTTAAGTGATTGTGCGGATTTTTACCCGTACATATAGCAAGGGCTATGAACAAATCCATTGTCTTTCTTCTTCCAAATCTTATGCATCATCCCGATCATTGTTGTTTTGGATGAAAATCGTGAAATGGTTAGTCCTAATATTGCTCAGACTCTCCTCTACAGATTTTGCCCCAAATGTGATGTTAGATCTGATAACATCTAACATGGCCATGTGAGTTGCACATGCTTGAAATCTGTTAAAAAATTGAAAATTATCAGTAGCAGGGATCATTTAAAACCAAATTCAAAATGTAAGGATTTAAAGTATTGCAATTGATACATTAAGGATTAAAATAATACAAAATACAAACATTAGGGACCGTCACTGTATTTAATCCTATATGTAAATTATTTATGCCATGGTTAACTTAGGTGAGGATAATATTGGAACGCACTTCTTGAACTTAAATGATGCCAACCAACCTCGTGAGAAGTTGTAGTAAATGAGCAGTTAATATTATAGGCCAGGTTGAATAAGGTTGAATTTTTTTGAAAGGTGGTTAGGGGCGATTAGGCATAACGACTTTTTCAGGACGTTAGCTTTAAGTTTTCACTCACTATAAAATGTTGGATTAATAGCACTCTTGGTTTCTAAAGTATACACATTTTATCAGTTTAGTTCATAAAGTATTTAATTCGTGTTTAAATGATCTTTACATAGACAGACCGTTAAGTTTTTGACGGAATAATCACATGTTGGATATATCATACCGCCTGAAAGAATAACATGTGGTCACTTTCATAAAAAAAATTAACGAATTTTTTGATTAAGGACCAAAGTGACATGAATTAAAATTTTGAGAACTAAATTAACAAAATTAATATAATAAGTACCAAACTGATAAAACCAACTTACTTTAAGAAATAAAAAAATAAAATGCTATTAACCCTTGGTTTGATAACTTATGATCAACTGGAGTTAATAAGCTCTCAATTCGTCTAAATCATTATAATTGCACCACTACTATGAATGTGCATTCTAAAGATGTTGCCCCATCAAATGCATGGTCCTTAAAAAAAAAAAATCAGTCAACACCAATATGACTTAGTAGAAGCACATCCAAATAAGAACCTTTAGATCCGTTGCTGTTCCTCATTCAGGGTAAACTAAGGCTTAATATATATGATCAACCACCAATCCTTTGAACCGTCCAGGATGGTCCGGTGGTTAGATTTGTCTTTTGATAATAACGAGATCTCAAGCTCAATCCCTTCTCGCACTATCTAAGGATTAGTCACTCTTATCTCTTTAGAGACATGCTCTAGATCAGCTCAAGGTATGATAGTCAGTCGTTGAATTTGAGGAATAGTCAATACAAGTCTGAACACCCTACAACCAAAAAATAAAAAAAGAGTAATATTACGTGGACTTAAAAATTATACTTAAAAACTAAATTAGATAATCTCAATCATTGAATAGATAGTGGATCCCAATAAATACTGAAACCATCAAAAACTATGGGTTGGACTTGGTGTTAGAATATGGGTTATATGCACTTGGACTTGAAGCGAACTCATAAACTCAAGAGTCAAGATCACCTTGTCTTCACCTCCACCCTTTTTGAAAACGAGAGAAAAAAAAAAAATCCCTATGAACATCATAAGACAAGGTTTCTTCCAAGTTGAAGACAGAAATATCTTGTCTACATAATCAATAATGTAATTTGTACTTAACTCGGGGCCTAATTTGGAATCCTAACGCATTGGGACCATTGAATTGACAATAAATTTCATTTATTATTAACACCAGGCTCACTGTAATTCAATAACCACATTAAATTAAATTCTTATTTTCAGTTCTCAAATTAAATTTAAATAACATTGCTCATATACTTAACCTGAACACGCCTTATTTTGTTGTTCAAGTTTTCCTTTAGTTACCAAATCATAGGAAACCAACACTAATTCCGACTGTGAAAAAATTAGGTGACAAAATTCAATTTTTTTTTTAAAATAAATGATAGTTTGTCAGTGGAGGAATAGATGAGTGGTTATTGTTGAGACTTAATTTATTATTTAATTGAATAATTGATTTATTTTGAATAGTTATGATTTTTAGAAAGTGTTATTATTTGAGTAGTTATGACCATTAAGAAAAAGACAGATGTGATTATTAAAGAAAAGACATCTTTTTAGAAGGATCATGACTATTAACCAAAAGGCATCTCTATAGAAATGTTATGTTTTTTAATAAAAATGCGCCTATTCAGAAAGTTGTAACTTTTGGAAAAAGACACTAAAAAATCTATAAATATGGTCCTAAATTTCATTAACATATATACTAGAGTCTTGTATAACTCATCTCTTTTCCGTCCTCTCTCACTCTCTCTCAAAATAAAAACTGTTCAAGAAGATTTCTTTTTAAGTTCTTCAATATTTTTAATTGCAATTTTTTACCCAAAAATTTTGTTGTATCCTAAAAGTAATTTGTCAAGGATCTTCTAGCAAACTCTTCGAGTAGAGCAACTATCATTTTAAAGAAAACGATCTTCCGTTCCTCATAATCTTGATTCTATTTTATTTTCAATTTGTTCAAATTAATTTCCCAACAATTATCAAATATACATGATAGAATGTGATCATACGTTAAATCTTTTATTTCTAATTAAGTTATCACATTACAGGTGAATGAGATGAAAATATCTAACGAAGTCCCTCATAACTTGCCTGAGTAGTAAAAAGAAGGATCTTTTAAAGGGATAAGTGGACCTAATTAAAATCTGGTAATTATTAATGTTTGGAGAGAAAATTGGGCTAGGTTTTTTTCTTTGAGCCCAAAAAAGAATCTGTTCGCTTTGAGGCTGTACTACAAACATTAAGGCATTTTGTAGCGAGAAGACTCCTTTAACCTTTTCCCATACGAATTGATTGTTTTATACATAGATAAACCTTTTTTGTTGGGTACAAATACAATATATATCATTCTACATACGAGGAGAGGAATATATCATTCATTCATTGACCATGGCAAAAGTCATGCTCATTGTCAAAGGATCGTTTCTCTGAAATGCTTGCTTGAATATAATTAAAAAAAGTTTAGTGCACGAGGTTTCTGTATTGCAGGATCCGAGAAGGGTTAAATGTACACAAGCTTATCTCGGCAAGCAGAGAGACTATTTTTGCATTTTGAACTTGTGATATTTAGGTCACAATAAAACAATCTTACCATTACTTGAATACATAGTTACTCCCATTAAAAGGAACTTTACACTATACTATACGATATGATTACAATCTGAATGAAGAAGTCGGAAGTAGTTCATCCCCTATGGGACCTTGCCGATAGTGAGGAAAAATACATTAAACTTTTGTATAACATTGGTTGGAAAAACCACATCCCCAAGCTAAAACTATCTAGTTATCTCATAAGTTAAAATCTATAACGTATATGATAAATCTCAAATATATCAATTTTGGAGGTCCCTGTACTTTTCATTCTATGAAAAGTTGAGAGGTCCCTGGATATTTTGTTATATTATATGGATTTTCTACTGAAACTTCAAGAGAGTTTTTTTTTTCCTTCTCAAATTTGAGCCAATACTTGAATATTCAGATCTTGTTCACTGCTGGAGATCTACATGGTTAGTCACCTTATTTTTGGACACTTCCAATTCTCCTCTCAGCACTTCCATCGAGTCCGAAACCTCAGCCTTGTACTGATAAAATTTGGTCACAACCAAGTAGAAAATGAAGTTCAAAGAGCTTAAAATCGCGAGGAACGCGAAATAATGATCAAGACGAGAGGCATTAAGGTTATTGAGAATCCACCCTTTGTGGCCATGCTCCTTGGTGATGTGAGAAACTGTGGTGAGAATAAAACTGCTAAGAAAGTTCCCAATTCCTACACTGGTCATGGCATAAGAAGTTCCGAGGCTCTTCATGGTTTCGGGAGCTTGATCATAGAAGAACTCGATCTTTGCTACATCTGNGAGCTTAAAAATCTAAACAAATGCTCATTATTTTGCAATTTAAACAAGTCTAAACGAATGAAAATCGAGTTGAATTCAAGCTAAGCTCAAACTCCTCTAATTATGTAACAACCCTAAAGATGTGTGGTATGCTTGGGTGGTGGTCAAATCACTTGAACTTGTTGTGTATTAAGATACGCCTCATTTGTGTTGTTTGACCTCATGACCTTTTTATCTCTATAACTAATATAAAACATGCAACTCAAAACTAATGGGAAATGAGTGTAGAGACAAGCAAGACTCCATACTAATTTAGTATTTAGAAATGGAAATAAGAGTCTAAAAGCCTCTTTAAGCTTAATTATATCATATTAATCGCCTCCTTCTTTAAACACGAATCCGATAAAGAGGAGAATAACATAAATATTTATTTATAGTTCTCAAATAAATAGCAATCCTAGACAAAAATAGAAGGATGAATTACAATGACCTCACTTATTGTTTCTAGCATTTTCAATGCATCCCTGTTGTTTTTTAAACTATACTGACATCCCTTTGGATGTGACAATCTGTATCAAATTCTCTTTCAACCGACAAAATATTAGGATAATGATGATGTAACTTTCCTATTTTACCCTCAAGTTGGATAACCCTATTTCGACCACATGATATTTTATGCTCAAAAGATTTGTAGTAAAAAAAAGAAAACAATCAATTATTTTTGAAGGTTATCCTCACATGCAGCAAGGGTTCTANAATACGATCCGATGTGATATGTCTGTGAAAATAATCATTCTCTGTAATTCGTTGCGTTACAACGGGCTGACACCCTTGTCTAGCATTGATTGCTTGGGCTCAGGACGTATTTTTTCATTGAATTTGCCAAGGTATGTTCCATTTGGATTCTCTCATCTAGACCAAAACCCCACCTTGGTGTCTCACTGTTCAAGGCCACATGTCGTGCTCTGATACAAGTTTTATTTTGTATCCCGTAAAAATTGATACTTTAATCGAGCCGAGTTTAATAAATTAGAGTATGTTTGAGTTTAGCTTTGTGTTGCATGGTCGAGATTAATTTTTTGCGAAAACTTAGAATGATATAAACTTGAAAGCATTCGAATTGAACTCGAGGCGAAATTGAGCTCAATTTCTCTACAAAAATTTTCAAAAAATACACCCTAAAACTTATAATAATACCAAAAATAACCAATCCAACAATAAAAACCTCTCCAAATCTGTATAATCAACTATAAAATCAAATCCCATAAGTTTAAATTTTTCAAAAATTTATTAGAGAAAAGAGAGAGAGAAAAATACATATGANATTGTTGGAGGCAGTGACTGTGCCTTGATGGAGCATCCTGGTCAAGTACACTATCAGATTTGATGATATGCCACAGTAGGCCATACGTTCAAACACTTCATACACTGCACCACCATCAAATTCAACAGAAGTTTCAAATAATATAAAACTTTCAAAAGTTTATTTGATTTGTGTAATTAATGGATGTCAATAAAAGGTTCAGATTCGCTCTAATATTTTTTTTGACAAATCATGGATTTATGCATAATAAATTATAGGGTTAAATGCATAATTTTTTTTTGTATTTAGGGTTATTTGCACATGACCTCCCTCAAGTTTAAATGGTTGCACTTAACCGCCCTAAAGTTTTCATCAAACTACAACAGCAGTCGACGTTAACAGAAAATACAAATGTACATTTTTACCCCCAAATATACATCTGTTATCCGTCTGTTCCTATCCCTCCCAATCTCTGTGATAGTCTAAACAAAATGAAACCCTACTAAATTTCTTCCTATATAAGGAAGATCTGTATTAGCCTGCAACATTCGAAATGGGAGAAGTACAAGAAGGAAACGATAACCTATTAATAACGATATCTTGAGTAGGCTTTCTATTCCACCTAATTTTATGTTTTGTAAAAGTTAACACCTAAAAATCAATCTAAAATTGAATTTTTGTTTGTGTAAGTTAAAATAAAGAGTCTAATTTAATTTTTCGCTTATCAGAAATCAAACCCACTCCTTACTTTATCACGTAGAATGAAAAAATGACACATAGTAAGTTTTTTATGTAATGTTATTTACTGTAAAATGTACTCATTTATCAAAAAAAAAAAGAAAAAGAAAAAAGGGCTTATTTCTTAAGTACGATAGAGAAATGTATTGTATTTATATAAAAAAGTTCACCTTTTCTTTTAAATTTTTATCAAATATATTTTCTTTTTGAAACGATGCTCTATAAAATAAAGGGTGTTGTTGGTAATACTCTTATATATTATTGGAGCTACCCAATAGGTTGATGGCTGCCCATGTTCCTCCCACCAGTAGTGGTAAATTTTGAGAACATGAAGAGGTGCAAAATGGATCTTGGCTGAGGTATTGGTAAGTTGTTCCGGACACTCTAACTGTCAACCAAAAAAAAAAAAAGAAAAAAAGAAAAAGAGATGATCTTGATCATCTCTAGTTATTAAATTTTTACTTAAAGTAGATTATCTACCATTAATGCACATGATACCTACCATTTATTAGTGAATCTCTCATTCATACACAATGGATGAACTGTCATTTGAAATTGAGGAAAAATGAGCTGGCATTAACAATGCAAGATTGAATCATCAGGATCATGTCATTTAATGCAAATTATATGGAGATCGAAGCAAAGAATTTGGTGGTTGTAAAAAGTAAGAAGGAATGATCATCATTTTAAGTTGCAACATGGTTCTTCATTGGAAGGAAAGATGGACTTCAATGTGTGAAGAATCCAGAAACAAGGAATTCGACAAATGCACGCTCAGAAGCGGGATATAAATCCAATTGGTGGGGAAGGAGCTTAGTATGAGACCGAACTTTTGGACATTTTTCCTCCACCTGCATGTGGGTAAGGTGAAGAATCCATCCCTCTAGAGGAAAACATAATAAAAAAGCAAACAAACAGAGCATCCAACGCAATGCGGCCTTTCATTCCTTTGATTCGTTGTGGCACCCCCCCCCCCCTGCGCCCAACAAGCACNTTTTTTTTGTATTTAGGGTTATTTGCACATGACCTCCCTCAAGTTTAAATGGTTGCACTTAACCGCCCTAAAGTTTTCATCAAACTACAACAGCAGTCGACGTTAACAGAAAATACAAATGTACATTTTTACCCCCAAATATACATCTGTTATCCGTCTGTTCCTATCCCTCCCAATCTCTGTGATAGTCTAAACAAAATGAAACCCTACTAAATTTCTTCCTATATAAGGAAGATCTGTATTAGCCNGTGTAATTTGGGCGGGTTGAAAGGTCAATTCTAGCCAAATTTTAGATATATAATTTTCAACCCTAACCCTAATCCTAACTCAACTTAAGTATTGCCCGAGTTTAATTCAGGCGAGCTCGGGTTGAATTCGGGTTATTTAATTCTGGCTGATTTCCGGTTAAAAATCGGGTTGACTTGAGTTACTTAATTCAAGTTAATTTTTTGAAGTGTAGATTTAATTTTTTAAAGTGTAGATTTGATTTTTTCAAGTGATCTTAAATGAAGGGTGATTCGTAGATGAAGAGAGAGGGAGTGAGAGAAGGAGGAATGACGAGTGAGAGAAGGAGGCTGAGAATGTGAGACGACTCAGATGACTGACGACTGAGAGAGGGAGATTGAGAGAGGAAGGAATGACGAATGAGAGAAGGATTGAGAGTGATGGAGACACAGGGGTGAAGACTTGAAGTGAATTGAAAATTTTGACTTTAAAGAGTGAAAATAAATACTAACCCTAGTTAAATATATTTATATATTTATGTATTTTCGGGTTCAACCCGATTTAATAATTGGACTCAACCCTATTTTAATATTTGGGTTGAACCCTACAATCCGAGGCTTGCCCAATCCAATTATTAAATATTCGGGTTCAACCCGATTTAATTTTTAATATTTAAGTTGGAGTTTTTTTGCCTAGACCCAACCCAAGTGTTAAAAATTCTAACTTAAACCCTTTTTTTTCGGGTTGAGGTCGGGTTGGCTCGCCTAAGTTGCATCCCTAGGTGAAATGTGTGGCATGTAATGTATGGTCTCAAATATTTAGAGGTTTTTTTTTTGGGGTTAGAATATAAAAAGACTTACCCCAAAAAAAAAAAAAAGAACAATAGAAGGGCAGCAATGTAACTTTACAAAAACTATTAATGCCATTCAAGAGATTATGCTGATAAGGGGATCTCAGTGTAATTTTCAAAACAAGAAGGGGTGCTGTGAAAATGTCATAAACAATAAGGGATGTAATTGTAATTTTCCCAAAATAGAATAGGAAGATCCATGGTTACAATGATACGTTGTATGTGACATACCGAGAGGTAGATTGCAGATGCAGTGACGAAAGTCCAGTAACGGCCTAGATGTGCATCAGCAACGTAGGCCCCCAAGATTGGAGTCATCCAGATGGCCCCAGTCCAATTTGTGACATTGTTGGAGGCAGTGACTGTGCCTTGATGGAGCATCCTGGTCAAGTACACTATCAGATTTGATGATATGCCACAGTAGGCCATACGTTCAAACACTTCATACACTGCACCACCATCAAATTCAACAGAAGTTTCAAATAATATAAAACTGTCAAAAGTTTATTTGATTTGTGTAATTAATGGATGTCAATAAAAGGTTCAGATTCGCTCTAATATTTTTTTTGACAAATCATGGATTTATGCATAATAAATTATAGGGTTAAATGCATAATTGTTTTTTGTATTTAGGGTTATTTGCACATGATCTCCCTGAAGTTTAAATGGTTGCACTTAACCGCCCTAAAGTTTTCATCAAACTACAACAGCAGACGACGTTAACAGAAAATACAAATGTACATTTTTACCCCCAAATATACATCTGTTATCCGTCTGTTCCTATCCCTCTCAATCTCTGTGATAGTCAAAACAAAATGAAACCCTACTAAATTTCTTCCTATATAAGGAAGATCTGTATTAGCCTGCAACATTCGAAATGGGAGAAGTACAAGAAGGAAACGATAACCTATTAATAACGATATCTTGAGTAGGCTTTCTATTCCACCTAATTTTATGTTTTGTAAAAGTTAACACCTAAAAATCAATCTAAAATTGAATTTTTGTTTGTGTAAGTTAAAATAAAGAGTCTAATTTAATTTTTCGCTTATCAGAAATCAAACCCACTCCTTACTTTATCACGTAGAATGAAAAAATGACACATAGTAAGTTTTTTATGTAATGTTATTTACTGTAAAATGTACTCATTTATCAAAAAAAAAAAGAAAAAGAAAAAAGGGCTTATTTCTTAAGTACGATAGAGAAATGTATTGTATTTATATAAAAAAGTTCACCTTTTCTTTTAAATTTTTATCAAATATATTTTCTTTTTGAAACGATGCTCTATAAAATAAAGGGTGTTGTTGGTAATACTCTTATATATTATTGGAGCTACCCAATAGGTTGATGGCTGCCCATGTTCCTCCCACCAGTAGTGGAAAATTTTGAGAACATGAAGAGGTGCAAAATGGATCTTGGCTGAGGTATTGGTAAGTTGATCCGGACACTCTAACTGTCAACCAAAAAAAAAAAAAGAAAAAAAGAAAAAGAGATGATCTTGATCATCTCTAGTTATTGAATTTTTACTTAAAGTAGATTATCTACCATTAATGCACATGATACCTACCATTTATTAGTGAATCTCTCATTCATGCACAATGGATGAACTGTCATTTGAAATTGAGGAAAAATGAGCTGGCATTAACAATGCAAGATTGAATCATCAGGATCATGTCATTTAATGCAAATTATATGGAGATCGAAGCAAAGAATTTGGTGGTTGTAAAAAGTAAGAAGGAATGATCATCATTTTAAGTTGCAACATGGTTCTTCATTGGAAGGAAAGATGGACTTCAATGTGTGAAGAATCCAGAAACAAGGAATTCGACAAATGCACGCTCAGAAGCGGGATATAAATCCAATTGGTGGGGAAGGAGCTTAGTATGAGACCGAACTTTTGGACATTTTTCCTCCACCTGCATGTGGGTAAGGTGAAGAATCCATCCCTCTAGAGGAAAACATAATAAAAAAGCAAACAAACAGAGCATCCAACGCAATGCGGCCTTTCATTCCTTTGATTCGTTGTGGCACCCCCCCCCCCTGCGCCCAACAAGCACCCTCGATTCAGGGGATCAGAAAATGCCTTGTGGTTTTCTCCCTTCGTTGGCCCTTGCTGCCTTCCTCAACAGGTGAATATTTCTGTACTATTTCTTGTTGGTCCCGAGGTATGGAGGAGACTATGTTAGTCAAAAGATAATTATTTGTTCAAGGACATAAGGTGACCCTGCTTTTTCAGGAGAGGTAGATAAAATGCCTCGAGCAAATAATCGAGTACTGGACACTACATCCTGAAATAACCCATGCCAGACTCTTAGGAAAAGTTTGAACGACCTTCAACAAAAGAGTACACGTACCCGAAACCGACACAAGTAGGTGGGTAGAGAATACCTAAGGGCGCGAGATAACTCTTGCTAAGGAACTCGACAAAATAGCCCGAATCTCCAAACCCGAGTATGTTTTTTTACTTGGATTACTTGAGTCTCGAATTCAGATTACTCAAAAATTTTATTCAAATCTGACTGTTGACAAGTCTTATGTATTTAGTTGTGAGGGAGAACGAATATTGACAATGATTATCTAACCGTTCTCTTTTCTCACACTGTGAAGAACTCTTGGCTCTACCCTGAGCACGAGTGACCAATGATCAACCCAACGACTCATTGCCCCCAGAGAGAGGGAGAGAGAATCTTTCTCTCGATATGGAAGGAAATGAGGCAGGCTTGAAGAGGAGAGCATTTTCAATACAAGAAAAATGTCATGGGGGTGAGTATAGCATTACTGCAAGTACATGAATACAAACAAACACACACACACACACACAAACTAGTCACTACAAGTTTGAGTGTGTGTACACTGTGGGGAGAGAGAGAGAGAGAGAGAGAGAGATACCAACAATGAAGGAACAAGCAGTCCATCCACCACCCTTGGATCTAAGGACAGGGTTCCCTTTGAGATCCACAGTCCCATCCTGTGTGTACTCACCAACACTAAGGGCTTCTTCCATAGCCATGTGTTTGTAGGGAGGTAAGCTATTAGATATGGCTCTTTTCTTTTTAGTTGGGTAAGAGGTTTTGGTTTCTTACTAGTTCTAAGATAGGTAAGAGCCAAGAGGACTTGATTTCTTACTTGTTTAGAGTGTCACCAAAGGCCAAACCTTTTAATAGACCTCATTTTATTTTTCTAGAAAAATGTTATTAATACCTAATTTAATAACCTATATTTAGCATGTAATCTATGTATTTAATTAGAAGTATCCAAAATGACCAACTAGACTAGGTTCAGTTAGTTAACAACTATATAGAGTAACACTATTTGGACCTAAAAATTTGACATAATTTGTTGATATAATGATGTGGTTTCAGTAGAACTATTGGATCAACACCAAGCTTCAATGTTTGATGGGCTCCACAGTCAATCCAAAGATCATAGTGAATTAGGTTAGCAAATTTTGTCAGTAAATTAGGCCCTAATAGCATTGCTCAATATAATAATTACAATGAATTAGGTTGTTATAATGTTATTCTTTTTGTTTGCATTTAATTTGGCATAAGAATCAAGCGAATTACTTGAGTCGATGGATGGAGGGCTCCCCTCCAACTCAAGCGTAAAATCAATGTTAAGTCAACAATCATTGAAACGGGCACCACCAAGCGAGATTGAGACCAATCCCTTGTATAGGGTTCCAAACATGCACTTCTTCAAATATCCCAACATATAATAAAGTAAGGGCTTCAAAGCTTGACTAACAAGTGAGAAACTTGACTTTGAGAAAGAAAAGAAAAGAGGCTGCGGGTAAGATTCTTTTCATCCTAATTTTAATTCAAAATTTCTCAATAATAGATAATTTGAAGTCGGTATATGAGATATACTACTTAATAATAGATAATTTGAGGTTGTTGTATGAGATATACAACTTAGAAGTAGACCATCGACCCATACACGATAATTCTTCTAAAAAAAAAAACCAATTCAGTGAACGAAGTTCTCACCTCAGTAAGCTAAACAAATGGTTAGAAGTAAACATTCTTATCCTTGTATGCAGAGCGACTATTTTCGTGACCCAAACATTTGACGCTTAAATTGCAACCTTACCATTGTAGGAACTCCCTCTGACGTATTGCTAACCAGGGGAAGAAAAAAGAAAAAATTCTCTCATAATTGATAATCATTAAGGAAATTTAAAGAAAAAGAAAATTATATTGGAGGGAATGGGATGCTTAAATGTCAACATCTCTAGTTTTGTCATTAATGGACCACTTGGGTCACTTACCCAAAAGTAACTCTCTATCTCAAATTGTACACCGAAAGATTATTCGAATTTCAATTTATATTCTCAAAGATTAAAAATCTCAATTTACACCTTCAAAGATAGAAATTTATATCAATGCACATCCCAAGTTAACAACTGTCAGTTTGCCATTTAAAACTAAATAGATTAAATTATACTTAGACCTCCTCATGCTTGTCACTTAATCATCTAGATCCCTCACATTTGAAATATTACACCTACATTCTTTGAGAATCTAAATATGACTAAAAATGTTCTCCCAATTGGACATTTAAATAATTCTATTTAAGTGTTGTATTGTATTGGATATAAAGAACATTATTGAGCATTCAAACGGTAAGTTTGATTTTAAACATTAAAGTATAATGGGCCTACAAAATAAAAGTTAGTATGAAATTATAATTTTTTATTAGGATAAAATCATATTTTTTAATAGTTATATTAACAGATATTAACGACAAGGGGTTATGAGTTATATGTGCATAAATGTTAGGAAATGTAGAAGTAATATTCTAAATGTGAGGGGGTCCAAATGATTAAGTGACAAGTATGAGGGAATCAAGGTGTAATTTATCTATTTAGTTTTAGACGGCAAACTAACGGTTGTTAGTTTCAAGCGCACATTGATACAAATTTATATCTTTAAGGATACAAATTAAGATTTTTAATTTTTGAGAGTGTAAATTGAGATTCAAACGATATTTTGGAGTGAAATTTATAATTGACCCTTTGCTAAATGACAATAATTAATATGACACATTCGTTAAGCACAAATCTGAATGGATTTTTTTTTAATTCCCTATTGTGTTGGCAATAATTGAAAGTTGTCGAGTGAACGATTTCCAGAATAATTTATTTTTCTCTCTTCATTCTATTTTTTTTTTTTGATTTTTTTTTAATGTAGAGATAAAAATCACGAGTTTGGGATATATTGTTATACTGATAATTTGTCAAAAGGATAAGAGCAGTTCAAATAAAGAAGAGTCTGGTTCAATTTAAATTTAAGCATAATTTGAGAAGGCTATTAATCTCGAGTGGCACCAAACGAGGGTGTTGCCATGCCTTGGTGCTCTGCTGGGGCACTTTTGAATTATAGTAATCTTAATTGAGAATGAGTATCTCATTCCTAGTTGATGACAGTTGAATTTTGGAGTGAGCTGTCCATTTTAAACCCAAATCACCTAATGGGCCAAAAATGGTGCACAACGGCTCAAACAACTCCATAACTACCCATCTACTTTGTAATAAGGAATGGGCCATAATCCTAAGGAGGAAGCCCAATAGAGAGTCCAGCTCGGCATAACCCTGCTCGGTCATAACAAGTTCAGCGTTAAGTAGTCCAGGATCAAGGAGCTCGGCACTCACCAGACCCCAAATGCCCCACTTCGCACCACGTTTCCAAGGGACTAGGGGACAACTTCTAAAGCCTTTAACGAATGTGTACTCTCTAGTAAAGGGAATATTTGTACACGTAACCACCCAAGGATAGTGGATATAGTGGCGTTGCATGACAGAGATCACTAAAGGACAAAAGAAGAGGGGACCACAAAATTAGCAAAAAAGGAAGAAGAAGCCGTAAGGAACTCTAGAAAGATTACCCGTATAAATAGAACATTATCACATTACAAGAGGTGACTAACAATTTCTTCATTGATAGACTGGTATTCACAAGACTCTGTATAAACAGGATTTAAGCCCAACAACTCATTGTAATCTTCTTCTTCAAGAAATATACATACCCGAAGGAGTAAGAGACTCAATTACAGTGGACGTAACCTTAGTCTTTTGGCTAATGTGAAGCACTTATACATTATTTTTAATTCACTCTGACAGCTTAATCCACTGTCAATTCATATATTTACACCACTCCCTATCTGGGCCATCAAGTTATAGTTTTGGATTTGGGTTGAGCATTTTCGAGCTCCATCAGCTTGGCGGTGTCTGTGGAAAACGATTTTCATCGTTCCTTCAAGTTTTCTTTCTACATTTGTGTTAGTTTGATGGTCTCAACACGGAATATTAGCAAATCTCATGCCAACCCCCATGTTCACCAGAACCTACCAGCGAATTTCCCTGCCGCCGTAGAGGACGTCGAGAATCACCCTCCGGAGGTAGATCCACCTCCTCTCAATGAGATGGAAACCTATCGCCGGACCACTCCAACTCATGAAGCAGAATCAAGATTTGATAATGTGGATAAAAACTCACCACATCCCGCAAATTCCACCAGTGCATCCTGAGCCACCTCTACCTCCTCCACCAGCACAACATGTCTCTCACTTGGATCGTCAGATATAGCCCAACAGAGTCATAGACCTCCACGAACACAACCATTCCAGAGAAAATCATCAGAGGAGGCAACTAGATGGACATACAGGGAACGAAGCCCACAACCGGGCCAGAGCCGTTCATTGAGAAGACCGACCCTTTCCTCTACCAGACATCATTGATCATTTTTGAGAATAGAAACTTCGCGAAATCCAATAAGAGCTAGGAAACATGAAGGAAGTGGTTAAGGGGAAAGCCTCCGACACCATGGACGCCTTAGTTCAACAAATCGAGTCACCTTTCACCTCTAAGATTCTCCATGTTCCCCTCCCTCATAAATTTTGGATGCCATTGATAGAAGAATTTGATGGAACCGGGGATCATATGGATCACTGGAACTCGTACATAAACCAAATGGAGCTACATGGGTATCCAGACCCTATCCGTTGCCGAGCTTTTGCCATAACCCTCAAAGGGTTGGTGATAGCTTGGTTTAACAGGTTGTAGCCAGCGTTGATCTCTTCTTTCAAGGAACTATCTATACAGTTCATGTCGCACTTCATAGGAGCCATAACCTACAAGAAACCATCCTATCATCTTTTGAGTGTTAAGTAGGGCCCAATGAATTCCTCCGAAGTTACGTGTAGCGCTTCAACCAAGAATGCTTAAAGGTAGAAAACGTAGATGACAAGTTCGCACTGACTACTTTCATGTCAGGACTCGGTATTCAGTTAAAGAACCTTATCTTTTCAATCACCAAAAACCCTCAAGCCACCATGGCTAAGGTACTTGCAAAGGCTGAGAAGTACATTAATGGCGAGGAGTCCTTTCACTTAAAGGAGAGTCACCATCCACAGAAGGAGAAAGAAAGAAGAGAGAGTGCAGTCCAAGAAAAGAGAGGAAGCGTAACTGATCCCCGCGTAGGGATCGTTCTCCTAGAAGAGAGAAAGAGCATTCCCCAAAGCGAAGAGACAATGTGAGAGATCGCCTTGGACCCCCACCCCAGGAGTTACAACCTAGGAATGCTCCAGGGTGGCTCCCACACCCTGAATGCCTCCTTTGCACAGGTCTTCCATGAGGTCTAGAATGAGAGGTTTATTAGATGGCCGCCTCGGATAAAGTCCAATCCTAGGAGATGAGATCCCACCAAATAATGCAAGTTCCTTAAAGACACCAACCACGAAACAAACGACTGCATCCAACTCAAGAAAGAGATAGAATACCTGATCCAAAGAGGATACTTGCGCCATTTATGTGGCAGGAGAAGGAAGAGAGCAAAATGACTAGGGGCGAGATGCTCGAGCTACTGTTCCACCCCCACAACAACATTAACAAGCCCTTGGCAAAATTAGGGTCATCTTGGGTGGTTTCATAGGTGGAGGCGAGTCTAGTTTAGCGAGGAAGGCATAAGCTAGGAGGGCAAGGTCAGATGACCTTCTCGAGGTTCAGGCAAT